GGGCCCACCGCCTGGCGGCCGCGCTCCTCGCCGGCTGGGCTCGGGTCCGGCTTCTTCCCCGACCGCAGGCGCGGGGTCTTGGCCTTCTCGGAGGAGGCCCCGGCGCCCTCTTTCCAGGACACTGGCCTCTGCGAGCTGGGCAGACCTTGTGGGGTGCTCTGGTCATCGCCCGGGTACGGGGAAGGCCTCGCCCCCTCCCACAGGGCCGGATGGCCTAACAGAGTCCGCTCGGGAGGGAGGCACACTTTAAACTCTGGACCCTGCAGTGGGCTCTCCCCTGCGTGGACCGCCAAGTGGCGGAGCAAACACTGCTTCCGGCGGAAGCCCCACCCACACTCCGGAGAGCGGAAGTGCCTCTGTCCCCGAGGGATGCTCTGCGGCTGGTCTGTGTCCGCTTGTTTGCTGAACTGCTTCCAGGCCCCGTATGGCAGGCCCTTCGAGTGGTTCCTCTGGTGCTGCTCTAAGAGGTTCTTCTTCCAAAAGCTTTCCCCGCAAACGGGGCAAAGGTGCAGGAGGCCCACCCAGGAGGAGATTTCCTGGAAGCCTGGGAGACCCAGGGTCCTGGGACTTGGGATTCCTTCTGGGGAGCTGTGAACTATTGAGATCAGGGTCCGTGTATCACGTCTGTGTGGTTTCAGGAGGTTGACAGCTTGGTCAAGCCTGAAGGAAACATCACTTTTTCCTAATAAGGGTTCAGAGAAATACTGGCTCTGAAGAGGATCTACTTGGGAATGGCGATGAGCTTCTCCTGAACTCACAGTTTGCTGGCTTCCTGAAATTGAAAACAAAAATTCGGTCAGTATTCCAGTCTATGGCATGACTAAGGCTGATGTCGCCAGTAGCAGTGACCTAAGGAAGCCCAGGAGCCCATCTTCCACTGAACTAAACCAGCAGATCCGTTTCAGTGGGGGTCAATTTCACGACCAGGAGTTTTGTGAAACGAAACTAAACAGACCTATCTTAGAACAACATTGAAAAGAGGATAATATAGGTCACAAATACAGGGTCTGAGCTCTGGAATCAGACTGGATTCAAATTCTACCTGCTCACAGTGCAACTTTTGTCAAGCTAATCTCTGGCTTCAGTTTCTTCTCCTGCAGAAACGTGGGAGCAGTGGTACACAAGATTGTTGCGTTAATGTGTGGAAAATGTTTAGCGTGGGCCTGGCATGCTGCATGTGCTCTGTAAATGTTCCCCATTATTATGACCTCAGGACCACCAGACTTGTCCCATTTTGATATGCAGACATTCCTGGAGTGAAGAAATGATGCCAGCAGTGTTACTGACAGACCCTGGATAACACCATGGCTCCACTTGATCCACAAGCTGTTCTAAGACCAGATGTTCCTCCCTCCTCACCCCTATTCCTACCAACCATATAAAAAGGTTTCTTGGAAGAATTGGTAATAGTTAAAAGTGAAATAATCTGTAAAGAGAAACTCTTACTCTGCTGAAAGAAACAGCTAAGAACTAAACAAACTGTTGTCAAGATTTCTTGGAATGATGCTCCCATTTGACTTCTCTTTCCATGCTTTAATACTGACTCTTAAGAATTCCAAAGACTCTCCCATCATAACAAGAAACAAGAGGAGCCTCTGATTCCCTCGTCACCTACTACTAAGAATAGCTCATATTTGCTGAACTCTGTGTTGCAAGGTATCATCTTAGTTTACATACATTAACCCATTTAACCCTATAATGTAGGTATTTTTGTCATCTTTGTTTTATAGGCCAGGAAATTGAAATGCTAAGAGGTTAAATAATTTGCCCCAGGTTACCCGGAAAAGGTAAGATCCAGACTAAGGATCCAGAACCACAATCCTCACTGCTATGCTTTACTGACTTTCTCTAGAACATACCAGACGTTAAGCCTCAGTCCATTCAAATAGGAAGTCCAGATCAGAGAACTGGAACTAAGAAACCTGAACGTGATGTAAGGACAGGGCCCTGATTTCTTAATACTCACCCCAAAACAGCTGTTCCTCAATAACTGGATCAAAATGCACATCAGCAGAGGGGCAAATTACATTTCCTGATTTCTGCGATTCTCCCCAATTCCTGAAGAGCTCTCTCCCCTGTTCAATCCAGGATATTAGTTCTGGTTTGGGAAGTCCATCATCTGTACAGAGAAGTCAGACAGGGTAGTTTGGTTTCCTTAGGCACTAAATTTAAAGCACAATGAGTTGTTTTTAAATTTCTCAAATTTACTCCTGGGAAAATGTATGAGAAGAGATGTTAAAAAATAGATTATAGGTTTACACAAAGAGGAGCAAAACTACCCACACATTATAACTAAGCTTCTTAATCTACCTGGACCTGTTAGATGAGTTGTTTGTTTTTGCATAAGTTGTGTTTTAATTTTTTATTGGTCCCCATATATCTAGCAATGCTGTATTTTGTCATGGGTTTCTTAAAACTCACCAGTGTTCTGCTTTGAGAATGGTGGCCAACCCTTGAGGCAACTAGAGATATCATGGGAATAGGGGTGTACAAAAAATAAGAACTGGGATGACTGTCCTAGGAAATTTCAAACTGGGTAGCTCAGCTAAAATATTCTGAGGAGTACTGGTGACAATGCTAATCACAACCTAAAACACAGCTGAGTTCTGCTAGAATAGAAGGGGTTGCCATGAATGAAATGAACAAATGAAAATAGTTACAAGATGCTCTAATATATGACGCTGTTCCCCTGTAGGAAATGTTTATGTATTTTCAAGTAAAACTTTCTTTCAAGAATATATATTTCACAGAAGCAAAAGTATGCTTCACAGGTTGCTCAGAGGAGATTGGTAGATGATCCAGATCAGAGAAAAAGGATAAGCCAGGCAGTGCATTAGGGATGAAATGTCAGAGTGGTGCAGGACATGGGAGACTGATCACACTGTTTCAGAGTCCTCATCAGCCCTCAGAAATCTGACTTCAGCCCCAAAAGAATTTCAAGGCTGTGCTCATGAAAAAAGGAATAACTATCTTTTATTTAAATCCATATACCTATTCTCAGTCTTCACCCTGGCTAAATGAACTCTCGGCATCTTTTAAAATAAAAGCATTTTCCAAAAAAAATTAAATTAAGAAAACAAGTCCACTTACAGCAACATCAAAAAGAATAAAATACTTAGAAATAAATTTAATAAAAGAAATATGACTTGCACAATAAAAATCATAAATGTTGCTGAAAGAAATATTTAAAGTCCTAAATAAGTGGAATGATATCCCACGTTCATAAACTGGAATACTTAGTATTGTTAAGATGACAGTATTCCCAAACCCCCTCTACCTATTTTTTTTCCCCTGCAGAAACAAGTGGATCCTAAAGCAATGGTAATCAAAATCGTATGGTACTGAGGAGGGGAGGGTATATAGCTCTAGTGGTAGTGTGCATGCTTAGCATGCACAAGGTCCTGGGTTCAATCCCCAGTACCGCCATTAAGAATAAGTAAATAAAAAACCCTAATCCCCCTGCAAAAAAAAAAAAAAGAATCTGCAAATTCAAACATCAGTGAAATTAAAACAAACAAAAAAACCTGGTATGGTACTGGCATTAGGACAGATATACAGATCAATGAAACAGAATTGAGAATCCAGAAAGAAATTCTGACATTCATGGTCAATTGCTTTTCCAAAAGGGTGCCAAGATAATTCAAAAGGGGAAAGAACAGTATTTTCAACAAATAGTGTTGGGACAATTGGACATCCATATGCAAAAGAAGCTGGATCCCTTTCTCACACCATGTAAAAAATTAACTCAAACAGATCAAAGAAGGGGAAAAAAGGATCAAAGACCTAAAATAAACACTAAAACAATAAAACTCTTAGAAGTAAAAATAGGAGGGAATCTTTGTGACTTTGGATTAGGCAATGGTTTCTTAGATATGACACCAAAAGCTCAAGTAACTAAAGAAAAGATAACTGGACTTCATCAAAACTTAAAACTTTTGATTCAAAGGACACCATCAACAAGTGAACAGACAACCCAAGAAGCAGAGAAAATATCTGCAAATCGTATATCTGATAAAGAGTCCAATATTCAGAATAGAGAACACTTATAACTCAACAATAAAAAGACAAATAGCCCACTTCAAGAATGAGCATAGTATTTGAACACACATTTCTCCAAAGAAGATATAAAAATGAAAAGATGATCAACATGATTAAGCATTAAGGAAATGTAAATCAAAAAAAAAAAGGTAATGCAAATCAAAACCACAGTGATATACCACTTCACATCCATTTGCTCTTGATGCTTGGAATGCTTTCTGGGTGGCATAGAGTTAATGACATACAATTATGTTTCTTCTTCTATAGATTCAATTACTTTAATTGGTTCTTCAGTAACAATGAAAACAATGTCATGTCTTGGATTAATGTTTTAGAAACACTCTATACAGACTGGAAAACTTAACCATGGAAATGGAACAGAATATAAGTATTAGAAACTTGGCAATGTGAAGGAAGTGGTATGGCTGTCAGAAGCTGGCAGAAGTGGAAGGAATACAGGAGAAATAATTACCTTATCTTTACATACTGACGGAATCAAGAGATATAAAGCTGAATATGACCTAGAAATTTATTATTTAAATTATAAAAGTAGCCAACAGAGGCATGAAAAATTGGGGGAGAAGGGGAAGGGATAGAAGAGGGACAGTATAAGTGAGTGAAAGCCTCATTTTTCATAGTAAGGAGTTAATGCTGCCTAAACTAGATAAACCAAGAAATATAGGAGTAAGTGTGACAGATTGAAGGAAACCACAGTAAGAACTGAAATAGAAATGGTTAAAAGTGGTTGCCTTTGAGGGGTAAGAATGAAGCGAGACACTTTTATCACTCATTTTGATGCTTCTCTGAACAGACTGATTTTTTAATAATCATGTTTAATAATAAAAATGTAAAGACCAAATAAGCAAAAAGACTAAAAAGAACACCATTACCATAATCACACAGAAACAACTCTGGCTAAACCCCTCAGTGTATAGCCTTCCGAAATCTCATTTCAGGGAAAAATAGTATGGGGTTTTCTGAGGCATATGGACACCACCATGAAAGTGGACAGGGAGGGACACCCTAGGTTAAAGATATATGGGGTACTTCATGGATTTGGGCTAGATATGTGTCTATCTGCAAAATCATGGCAACCTGTGAGTATGCAGTGACTAAAAGTCCTGACATATATTTATTGTTGCCTCTGACCACCTTATATTACAGTATCACAAATATTCCCATGTACAGTGTCTACCCTTGAGTAAGGATTAGCAATGCTTACAGATATTAACAAAAGACTCTGGGGTAAAAATACCTGAGTGAATTTCTGAGAAATCTGGCTGGCTGACAAACAGGAGTATCGAGTGAATGAGACCACTAACAGGACCCAGTTCCATGACTTACCCACAAAGTTAAACACTTCTTACCTAGAGAAACAAGAATCTCATAATTGGTTCTCATTACTTGCTTGTAAAGCTCCTTCTGGCATGCCTCTAGACCACGCCATTCTTGCTCCGAGAAATAAATGGCAACATCTTCGAATGTCAGAGGTAACTGGAATTATAGACATAATACGTATATAGTCATAACTGCTTCTAAATGACTCCAGTTCCTTCTCATCAATTTAGAAGAGTTTCGTGGAGGACAATGTTTTTGTCTGTTAGGCAGCTGCTTCCTTGGGAAATGCTCCAATCACGTGGCTCTGTTGGTAACCACGACCACCCCTTCCACTTGTTTCTCTGTGCTTGTTCCAGACCTATGCATATGTACAGTACAGAACATTTTCATTTTTCTTCTTCTTTTTTTAAACAAAAATGGGAGCAAATCTCTGTAAATTCTTTCACTTAATATGTCACAGACATCTTTCCAGGTCAATTTATAGCAGCAAAATCTTTTCATTTTTGGTAAGCTGCATTATATTCTATGGGTAAATACACCCCACTGATGGGACATATATTATTCCCACTTCCTTTATAAATTATCAACAATGCTCTCATATACTTCCTTAGTGGTTTTACTTCTGCAGGAAAAGGCTAAGAAGTAAAAAGGAGGACTGCTAAATCAAAGAGTGTAAACATTTTCATTTTACGAGACACGACTAGATTGCCTTACAAAAAGAATCCAGCATTTTTACCCTTGCTAATGAGAACTTATCTCTTTACACCTTTGCCAGCACAGGATGTTCTTAAATCTTATTTATTTAGTTGTTTATTGACCAACATGATGGGTAAAAAGTGTATCTCATTGTTTTAATTTGCGGGGCTTTTCATATTTCAGAGGGGGGTTTCCACATAACTTTGTGCGTGCCTGTTCACTTCCTTTGCTCAAGGTTTTAGTGGGCCCTTACAATTTTTTTGAGTCTTTTTTTTTTTTACAATTTTTATTTTATTTATTTATTTAGGGGGGAGGTAATCAGGTTATTTATTTATTTATTTATAGTGGCAGTACTGGGGATTGAACCCAGAACCCTGTGCATGCTAGGCAGGCACTATACCACTGAACTATACCTTCCCCACAGCCCTTATAGTTTGAATTCACTTTCTTACATTAGGGTTAATAATCCTGTGGTTAATCCTTTGACATTTTCTCCCAGTTTATCATTTGTATTTTGACTTTATGTTCTGCCAAAGAGAACATTTTTACCCTTTCGTTAAAACCTGTGAGTCTTTTCCATATTGCTTCCTGTTTTACTTTCATTTTGTATACACAATCAAAAAATTACACAAATATTCTATTTATTTTTACATTTAGATTTGCAACTTAATTCTACAGGTGATACTGGCATCTTTATTTATATATATGTAGACAGCCAATCACAGAACCCTATTAAATACACATTCTTTCTCCTGACCTTCAACCTTTGCATATATTAGATTTTCTTGTTTGTACATACTGTATTACACTATCTATACGTATCTGATTGCACAGAACGTATGCAATGTTGTAAGTCTCCCCTACCCCTATTCTTTTCTGTGAATTACTGCTGTGAACTTTTGGAATATTTATTCTTCCTTAAAAACTCTAAAACTCAGTCCTACACTCCTCCCTTCTGAGAAGCAAACATTATGATGAATGTGGTAACTTCTCAGTTCATGTTTTTAACTTTTTAACACAAGGTATATCTATAAATAATATACAGTATTTGCCTTGCCTTTTATACACAAATGCTTTATTATACAGTAATCTGCATTTTTTATTCCTTATTTTGAGATCTGTCCATCTTGATATGCATAGAATTGACTTATCTTAATTTTGTATAGTGTTCCATTGTCTGCATGTCATAATTTTTATTCCATTCTTTTATCCATTGGCCACTTGTTTTTTGTGCCATGAATTGCCTGTTCATACCCTTTGCCTATATTTTTACTGGGTCATTTGTTCTTTCATTTCTAGGATTTCTTTATACAATTTATATATTGATTAATTGTTAACATTAGGTTATAAATACTTTCTCCTAGTGTATCACTTATCTTTTATTTATGCTGTCTTGTACATGAATACTCAGCTGTGACACAAATGTATTAATCTTTTCTTAGGTGATTTTACTTTTTGTGTTTTAAGAAATGTTTTTCTATACCAAAGTTGCAAAGTTACCCTACATTTCCTTCCAAAAGGCTGGAGTTTTACTTTTCATGTTTAGATTTAATTTATCTGGAATGTGATTTTTTTATGGTATACAACAGTGACCTACCTTAATTTTTTTTCCAAATAGAAAAGTCAATTGTCCCAACACCACTTTTTGAAGTTCTCTGTATTTAGTTTCCTAGGGCTGCTGTAGCAAAGTACAACAAACCTGATAGCTTAAAACAATAAAAATTTATTCTCTCATAGTTCTGGTGGCTAGAACGCTGAAATCAAAGTGTCAACAGAGCCATGCTCTCTCTGAAGCCTCTAAGGGAGGACCTGTTCCGTAACTTTCCCTCCACTTCTGGTGGTGACTGCTGATACTTGGCTTTCCTTGGTTTGAGGCTGCACAGCTCCAGTCTCTGCCTCCACTGTCGCAAGGGCTCCTCCCTTTGGGTCTGGGTCTCCGTGTCTCTTATCCAGATATCAGTTATACTGGATGAAGTACCTGCCCTACCCCAGTCTGATCTCCTCTTAACCAAGGATATCTGCAGCAACCCTACTATAAGGTCACAATCTGAGGCTCCAGGAAGGACATGTATTTCACGGAGACACTATTCAGCCCAGTACAGTCTGTTTTGGGGCCCTCTTTCAGTTTCTACTGCTCCCTGTGTGTATCCCAGCACAAAACAGTACTGAATTAATTTTAGAGATTTATAGTAAATTTTATTATCTGCTAGGGCAATTTCCCCTGTTATTCCTTTTCAGAATTGTATTTTTGACCTTTATTTTCCCAAATGAAATTTAGAAATTGTTCATCTCATTCACAAAAATCTTACTGCCATTTTGATGAAGCCACAATAGATTTATACATTGACTTGGAGGAAAAGTAACACCTTTACTATGTTTAGTCTTCCCAAACATAGGCATGATTTATCTCCCGTTTACAGGCATAGCTAATTTTATTTTGCTTTTCAGATATTGCATTGTTTACAAATTGAAGGTCTGTGTGGAACAAGTCTGTTGGTGTCATTTTTCCAGTAGCACTTGTTCATTTCATGTCTCTGTCACATTTTAGTAATTCTCACAACATTTCAAACCTTTCCATTACTATTATATTTGTTACAGTGATCTGTGATCAGCGATCTTTAATGTTACTATTGTAATTGTTTTGGGGCACCATGAACCACGCCTATAAAAGATGGCCAACTTAAGTGATAAATGTGTGTGTTCTGACTGCTCCAGTGACTGGCCGTTACCCCCTCACTCTCCCTCTCTTTGGGCCTCCCTATTCCCTGAGACAGAGCAATATTGAAATTAGGCAACTTAATAACCCTACATTATTAAGCATTCAAGTGAACATTAAAATGGCCTCTAAGTGTTCAAGTGAGAGGAACAGTCATACATCCCTCCCTTTAAATCAAAAGCTAGAAATAATTAGGCTTAGTGAGGAAGGCGTGGTGAAAGCTGAGACAGGCTGAAAGCTAGCCCTCTTGCACCAGTTAGCCAAGTTGTGATTGCAAAGGAAAAGTTCTTGAAGGAAATTAAAGTGCTACGTCAGTGAACACACTAATGATAAAAAAGAAAAACAGCCTTACTGCTGATACAAAGAAAGTTTTAGTGTTCTGGATAGAAGACTAAACCAGCCACAAATATTCCTTTAAGCCAAAGCTTCATCCAGAGCAAGGCCCTAACTCTCTTCAATTCAATGAAGGCTGAGAGAGGTAAGGAAGCTGCAGAAGAAAACTGTGAAACTAGCAGAGGGCGGTTCATGAGGTTGAAGGAAAGAAGCTGTCTCCTAAACATAAAAGAACAAGGTAAAGTAGCAAGTGCGGATGTAGAAGCTGCAAAATGAGGGTGGCTACGCTAAATAATGGCTTTTTCAATGTAGGTAAAACGGCCTAATATTGGAGGAAGATACCATCTAGGACTTTCATAGCTAGAGAGGAAAAGTCAATGCTTGGCTTCAAAGCATCAAAGGACAGGCTGACTCTCTTGGGAGCTAAATGCAGCTGGTGCCTTTAAATCGAAGCCAACACTCATTTACCATCCCGAAAATCCTAAAGCCCCTAACAATCATGCTAGATCGACTCTGCCTGTGCTCCAGAAAGGGAACAACATAGCCTAGATAATAGCACATCTGTTTACAACATGGTTTACTATTTTAAGCTCACTGTTGAGATCTACTGCTCAGGAAAAAAGATTCCTCTCAAAATATTATTTATCACTGACAATTCACTTGGTTACCCGAGACCTCTGATGGTGATGTACAAGGTTAATGTTGTTTTCCTATCTGTTAACACAACATCCATTCTGCAGCCCATGGATCAAGGAGTCGTTTTAAGTCTTATAATTTAAGAAATAACATTTCATAAGGCTATAGCTGTCACGGATGGTGATTCCTCGGATGGATCTGGGCAAAGTCAATTGAAAGCCTTCTGGAAGGATTTATCCTTCTGGATGCCATGAAGAACACCCAAGATTCACGGGAAGAGGTCGAAATATCAACATTAACAGGAGTTTGGAAGAAGCTGATTCCCGCCTTCATGGATGACTTTGAGAGGTTCAAGACTTCAGTGAAGAAAGCAACTGCAAATGTGGTGGAAACAGCAAGAGAACTAGAATTAGGAGTGGAGCCTGAAGATGTGACTGATTTGCTGCAACCTCATGATGAAACAGATGAGGAGCTGCTTCTTATCAATGAGCAAAGACAGAGGTTCCTCCAGATGGAATATACTCCTGGTGAAGATGCCATTTAGATTGATGAAATGACAACAAAGGATTTCAAAAATTACATTTTAAAATTAATGTTGATAATTAACTTATCAACATTAGTTGATAAAGCAGTGGCAGGGTTAGAGATGACTCACTCCAATTTTGACAGAAGTTCTACTGGGGGTAAAATGCTATTAAACAGCATTGAATGCTACAGAGAAATCGTTTCTGAAAGGAAGAGTGAATCAATGCAGCAAACTGCACTGTTATTTCAAGAAATTGCCACAGCCACCCCAGCCTTCAGCAACCATCACCCTGATCAGCCAGCAGCCGTCAAAATAAGAGTTAACACCGTCTACCAGCAAAAAGGTTGCAACTTGCTGAAGGCTCAGATGATGCTCAGCATTTTCAGCCATAAAGTACCTTTAAGTAAGGTATGTACATTGCTTTTTTAGACATGCTACTGCACACTTAACAGACTACAGTATAGGTAAACATAGCTTTAATATGCACTGGGACTGGGGAGGGTATAGTTCAAGTGGTAGAGCACATGCTTAGCATACACAACGTCCTGGGTTCAATCCTCAATACCCCCCTAAAATTAAATTAAAAAACCTAATTACCCCCACCCCGCAAAATGCACTGGGAAACCAGAAAATTTCTGACTCACTTTACTGTGATATTTACTTTATTGCAGTGGTCTGGAACTGACCCCAAAATATCCCTGAGGTATGCCTGTATTTACAGTTTTTGCCATAAAAATGCTGCATATCTTTTGTATATTTAATTTTAGGAATTAAGCCTTTTGTTGACATTGTTAATGGTATTTTAAAAGTAATGATCTCAAGAATTCATTTAGTAGTTAGTAAAACTGCTCAATATGTAAGTTTATAAAATACAAAACGATAATACCTCGATTTCAACAAAATACTAAATAAGCAAATACTGTGTCCCCTACTTGGGTTTTTATATTCTCTTCTATTCCTTCCAATGTGTCCTTCTTTCTTCCACTTAACACAACCTTCAACATGTTAGCGTAAAATTCTGACTTGTAAGCCCCTCCCAACCATCACTTCAGCCACTCAGAATCTTCAATCTTTTAAAACACTTGTCTTAATTTCAGCGACTGTAATGTAAAACGAATTGAACTGTGACACCCATCGCCGACCCCAGCCCAGTTTTGATCCTTTCCCTCTTCCGCCCCCGAAACAGTCTCCGCCGGTTCCCCGCTCGGCTTTGTTCAGAGGTTTGGCCACGATGGAGCCCCAAGAGCAGCGGTCACCGGCTCGGTCCAGGGTCCATACCCCACACCCGGGGCATAACGCGACCCTCAGACCCCGGCCCCCACCCCGTCCGCCAGCGCCCCGCGACGACCCCAGGAGGCAGGCCCGCCGAGCCAGAACCCGAGAACCCGCCCTGAGCTCGGTGCGGGAGAGCTCCTCTTACCGGAGCCGGCTCGGCCATGGCCCTTCTCAGTCCCGCCGGCCCCGGCCCC